TTGTATGAACATTTTTCGAACTCTTCATTTTGGAAACAGTTTCCCCAGAAATATCTAGATCTAGACATTCTGAGTACTCTAACTCGATATATCTCCGGTCCATTCAATATACAGAGTGGTTCTTCATTACCTTTCAATCTCAGTTTCTTGGTAATTTCATTATCCAACAGACTACTTTAGATCCTTCGTCACAAAGAGCTGAATTGTGTACAACATCATTGGGTCCAAGAATACTCACAGGAATAATTCTCAGCAGTATATTTTGATACTTCTTAATCTCCGATGATTGCGTAGTAGCGTACTGTAGTTTTTCTCCTTTCATACGAAAATTGTTGTTATGCAAAAGTTTGTGATGATTCAATTGACATCCATCGGTACCACATCTTGCATTTTAGTTTTTGATGATTCATACCTTGACAAAAAAACCAAGATGTTTTTATCTTCGACGATTTTTCACTGTGTGACAACGTCATCGGACCTCAGACCTCCAAAATTCGAAATTCTGTGATTGCCATCCTCACAATATAAACAAGTAGTTTATTTCGGCTCCTTCGTGGTTGTCTCAAAACGGAACATCTCTGTTGTGGCTCTGGTTCCTTGTAATTTCTCAATGGCTCTTCGTATTTCTTCTAGGAATAAACGTAGCATGCTGCTCCTGCCATTTCAGCCAACCACAAGGAAAATCTTGTTAGACATATCTTCTAAAAGTTGAGGATGTGCATGTGACTATAGTTGACTTCAGACTTCTCATTGTTTTCACTAAATTTATGACTTAATTTGAAAATAAAATAATGTTTTCAATATTGATATCTTTCATATATGAAGAACTATTCACTACAAATGATTAAAACTTCAATTACAATATTATGTCGGCCAAATCTCATTTTCAGTGTGATACTGTCGATTTCGGCTTCCCTCTCAAACATCTCCTCAATCAGACCATGATTTCCTCATTGCTAAATGCACTCATTCATATTGCTCCTGGAATAAAGGCCTCAGAATTTCCATAAAAAATCGGAAAATCTTCATCACTTATTCTCCTTGCTAATGATTTTTTTGGAATGTGTCACCTGGATGAACTATCTTCAAGTCGCTGATTGTCAGACATAATAAATGAATTTTAGATGATGGATTATTCACTACCTTTTCCTGACTGACATTGCCCTCACCTCAATTCTCACCTGGATGGACAACATTGATTATTTGCTCACCTACAGGACATTCGACGTTGACTGGCATATACCTGATGGACTTTCAATATAATAATCGGCAAATCTCATAGGCCTGCGTTGTTGGCAGCTATACTGGACGTTCAGCAGCATAGTACCTACTTTAGACTCTGACGTATTTCTTCAACGTATGCAGCTTCTTCTTGTCTTTGAAAAGTGTATTGTTGCTTCACCCATTCTTGTAATCTGAGTAAACCGTACTTCACAATAGATTTCGCTTGTTGACTGATTATTCTCTTTACGATCTAAGATTTCCGCATAGTGTATTTCGTGCTCTAACTGAAGCAATTTGGTTTCACTTTTTCTATTTTAATCTCTTGGCTCCTCCTTTCTGTTTCATAGTATAATTCCTCCTGGAGGAGCCTAGCCGTTACCACCGATACAACAAGGCCTGCATGCTCCGTGGGTGACGTCACTTAGTGAGGCCTAACCAGCGGCTCGAAACGACAAGCGCTTATAGCGCTATAAGGCGACCGCGTATTTCGATTTTAGTTTTAGATCATCATTGCGCCGATTTTGCTGTTTTTTGAGGGGCTTCCGGTTAAAAAAGGATGCCAGTCGTCAACTGAGCCCTTCTTCGCACCCCATTCGATTTTATTATGGAAAAACGAAGTTTTAAAGCAAAAACTAGGATAAAACACAAATATCCACCTACAGCATAACCCATTCGAATTAAATATATTGGCAAAAATTGTGGTGAATGTAAACTTCACACCTACTTATACAGGGCCCGCAGAACATAAACTTATCGTGAGATTGATCGAAAGAAAATTGTGGAAAATGTATTTTATTTTGATTCACATGCCGTTTGTTACAATTCCCTATATTTATCTTGGGGAATTCCTATTACCTGAAAAAATAACCAGTGAGTGTTTTCAATTTTCTGTTGTTGGATTTTTCACCCAAGAGGATCGTTACACTTGAAACCGTAATTTTTAAGGGTAAAACTGCATTTATCATGCGATGGTTTTTTTTGAAATTTTTTTTCGGTACTTACGTATTTTCGTCTGATAAACCGAATTTTATAATGAAAATGTGAACAAACCACTATTTATTGAGATATTTCAAGAAAAAGTTCGAAATTTCGCCTTCTTTCTCCCCTTGTGTTGGGGGCATTTGAAGCTACTTGCTCTTATTTTGTCATTGGACACTTTATATACTCATGATGTACTTCGATGGCACATTTTTATATAGAAAATCAACAGGAAATATGATTTTTATGGCGAGTTTTTCATATTTAGTGAACAAGCATTCCAGATGACGACCATTTAATCAATAGTCAATCAAAATACGAGATGTCAAATGTCAATAGATTGCTTTCGAATGACATTACACACGCCATTCTTTTCACTAAATATGGATTAATCTCAAGAAAGTAGAGTGTTTGTAGTTCATGTTATTATGATAGTTGCAATTTGATCATTGGAATGAATTCTGCATTCATTGCCACGAGGCAAATGACCGTTTTCAGAAAGAAATTTGAGAATGAGAATTGAAAATGCCCGTTTATTATGAACGTTCAAGAAATTTTCCTCGAATTCCGAGATGATATTGTTGACTATAATATACGAATACAAAACTAACTGCACAATCAAAGCTTTTCTATTTTTCCTCTACATATACTTTTTATGAGAGAGTAATTGTCTTCTATTATTAATTCATCATTATAATTTAAGCTCTTTTTACTACTGAACTTAGATGGAGTAAAATCCTCGCGGTGAATTGCATATACCCACATTTTCGATAGCTCCTCGTCCAACGGGAAACTAAAAGCATGAATTTTTGAACCACCCACATAATTCCCCCGACAAAAGGGAACACAACACTTGAAAGGCATTGTTATTTCGCCGATCACAACACAAAATATTTTACAAAACAATAATTTTTCCGCCAATTATTTTGATGAATAAAGAACAAAAGAATTCGGGACCGTTTCAAAAACATACGTGAATCACCGATGAATTAACACGAACTGACGCGTTAGTCGACAAGCGATAAAATAAAACACTGGCCTCTCTTGGTGACGTCACGAGCTGTTTACGTCAGAGTCTGCTGGCCTTGTTGTATCGGTGGTAACGGCCTAGCACTAACATCACATATTTTATGTCATGAATTATACATAGCAGTAGGTAATCTTCTAATAATCTAAAAAACGTGTCGACTATTTCATGATATATAAGTCAATTGAGAAAATTTCAATATGTTTTCGATATAACGGTGCTACGACTGCACTGCACTGCATAAGAACCTCTGGAACTCAGGAAATGATAATAAGATAAAATAATCAGTAATCTACCTGTTATATAGTTGAGTTAGTTCATCAATCGGTTCAACTTGAGATGTGAGGATTGTATACTTGATGATTCTGGAAATATCAATTTTCCAAGGTATGCTGAGAGTATCCTTATAATACACACTGAAGAGATGTTCATAGAATATTCACTAGATGATATGAATATTTCTTAGAATCCAGAGAATATTCTGAAGAAAAATATTTGAGGTTGTTTTAGAATGAATTGTGAGTGCGACATCAAAGTTTTTTCTACAACAGCTAAGTACAGTAAGATGAGAGGTCAGATTTGATGATTTGAGCAGTGATTATAATATCACAATGAAGATAAACAGAACCTCGATTTCCGTTGGTGTTTCAGTAATCAAAAGGATTGATTTCATAGAATTTTTAATGTTTCATAGAGTTCCAATAGAGACTCGGAGGCTTTTAAACAGAAACAAGAGAGTAGGTACCCTTTGTTTCACTTCGACTGCATCAGACTCAACGGAATTCACAAGTTTGTCCTATAACAATAAGTAGGTATACGAACAATTATAATCATTTTGTTATTCAGTGTCGATCAAACAATCCGCTTAGATCAATAAACGATGTATGAAGTTTCAAAATGTATACCTAATCTAGAATAACTGACTTACCTAACCAACCAACTGCTAACTGCGATTCAAAACGTTCCCAACTGCCTGATATCACATGTCGCCATATCACCAGTGCACCTCAATTTATGTTCCAAAGTATACTGTTTATTGGTATTATTTGTCATTTAATTGGACGTGTACAACAACAAAATACCTGTTTCCGAAGCCAAACACCAACAAATATGGCCACTGAGATGCTGGCGTTTGTCGAATGCAAGTTCGCGACTGCGCGTAGGCATTTCATAAAATGGCGTCTCTCAATCGATACACAATGTATCGTTTTGTATATTTCAGCTATTTCACAATTTATAATCAAATATGTGTTGCATCTCATAAGTTGTAGCTATACCGTTTGTAGTTAGCTTATGTTATTTACAGACTCAATGAAGTATCAATTTTGAAATGCAACATCATAATTGAAAATTCCCTGATAATTCCATATGTAACGTTGCACTGATATCGTTAGTAGTTAATCAATGTAATGTTGCAATTTCAATAAGAATATATAGTTGATGCAATATTGCTATCGAAACTAAAATGAGAGAGTCATTTTGTAACTCATAAACAATGTGTCAATAGGTTCTTCTGTTATATTGTCAACACGAATATAGCAGCAAAATTGATACAATAGTGTATCTCCATATCACGGAAGAAAGCTTAACAATATATTGCGGCAATATTTTGTAACATTATTACATGTTTAGTGGGGAGAGACAACGCAGGGACCATGTGATTGTGTTTGCTGGGCTACTCGATTCCCCACAAAAACGACTGGCATTAACTGTTGAACATTGAATAAGCAATGCATGAATGACTCAAAAGTTGTGAATTGAACGCATTTACCTCTCTGTATCTCTTCTAGGCTGGTCTGCTCAATATGTAACTGCAAGAGGCTTGGCAAGTTACTGAAGGCTTTCGACTCGAGTATTTGCAAATCTTTAGCGTATATTTCGACTCTTTCCAGTGTGGGCAGATTCCTTATCGAGTTCTTGCCCAGCCGCAATATCCCAGTTATATCACTCTTAATACGCGCCCATTTTATGTCATTGCTTCTGAATTGCTCGGGTTCGATACATCCGTTCACCAAATATTCTCTATACATATATTCTTCGATCACTCCTACGCTCGTGTTTTTGAAGGAATCACATCCTTCAGCTTCGATGGTCGACAGCTGCGTCACAAATATCATCGTTAACAAGCAAACACGAATCATGTCGGCAGATTCAGACAGATTGAAGCGGCAGTTTGGTAACTAATTAAACCTGGCCAGAGGCAGGGTTGCCAGATATTTTTGCCATCAACACGCTGCATTCGACCAGTGGAAATGATCAAATTGATTTGAGATAAAAACCCCTCGTCCTGCGGACTCGTGGTTTAACCATTAAGCGGTTGGATCTCGTTGATTTCTGAGAGAATTACTATGGATAGTATTGCGAGTACTCATAGTATTACCCCTGATAATTCGAACTTGAGTCGACCTTCTGATTGATTAATTTGATAACTGCGTGCAATAGTCAGGAGTAATACCATGAGTGCTCGCAAGTAATTCTGTAAGAAATCAACTAGATCCAGAGCGGTTCAAACAATGGCATCAAAGAAAACATGCCTCTGGGAAGCAAATTGGTAACCACAATCATTTCGCAAAAAAGGTTATGTTTATATGGTTTAGTCATTAGTATGCGACCTCAAGTGACAGCCATACTTGAAAAATGTAGTTCAAAATCAGTTTCTAGCGTATAACTACATATCTTCAGTTTCCAGAGGAAACATTTCAAATAAAAAGATGGACAGCTGTAATACGAGTAGGTAAATTTTTTCTTCAAATTATAGTTTTCAAGCTACAATGCTGAGAAGTAGGCGAAAATTTAGGAGACGCATATCTGTTTTTATCTACGAATTGACAGGTTTGTGGTATGTTCTGTAGTGTACCTGCAAAGAAATTCCTTGATAATTATTTTGGAATTTTTACAATTATCCTTGACTTTATATATCACAACATAGCTTGAGTATGATATGTGGGGATGCCGCCAATGTTGCTACATATTGTTATTTTGACAAGGTGGATTTCGTATATTTTTATGCAGTTCTAATTTGTCATATTTTTTACACTCTCATCATCTACTGTAGGTAAATTGAAATCCCCATCTCATTTCATACAATTCTGGATTTCATTTTAGAAAGACTGACGAAGGAATAGAGAATTCTGAAAGCTGTCTCTGAAATATCAAGAGTTTTCTCTAGATTCCCATTAGCTGCATCTCCACAAATCCTACTCAATATATTGATTGATACAGCTACTAATGTAATTGAATAGTACTTAGTTCTGCACTGAATTCCTAGAGAACCCTGGTACTAACTCCTTCAGAGTTACTTGTTCTCATCTCTTGGAGCGCATGGAAGGGAATCCCTATTATGTTCGAAGAACGTGCGTACCTAGGGAGGATAGGCAGAGAAGGTTGGTATTGGAAGTTTTTTGAACTTCTGGTGACTATAAGTTCTGAGGAATACTTCCTCTGGCAAAGAATTCCGAAGCTTCGCCGTTCTATAGACGAACGAATTTTGGTATGGGTGCCCAGACACCAGGGGATGGACAACGAGAAAGACCACATTAAAAAGGGGACCAAATCTATGTTATGCCATGCTGGGTTTCCTATATGAAGTTTGGACTGCCTCATTGAGCGTGAAATAGTAACTTTTGTTTTTCCCTGTAGGTCCTGGTTACCATTCCGAAACATTAATCTACGATGTGGTCAAAATTTCACTAGAATCGGACAAAAATTCATTATTTGGGACCATTTTGAGCCAGAATCTTCCATCACTGAAGTGATTTGGACAGTTGGAGCTCCCATCACTTATTTTCTAATGTTTGGAATATTTATTATCGTCTTCATTTACAATAAGTATGAGTTCCACAGTTCCAGAATTTAGAATGGAATCAAAATGAAAATAAATGCGGAAATTGTTTTGTATATATGATGTTTCCTAAACTGAGTGTCTCTAAGTCATCTCTATGATTATATGAAAAAAAAGGTATCTAATTACTCATTCCCTTCATTTCTTCAGTATATCATTATTCTCATTTTCCACTAGCATTCTTACAACCGAGATAATAGTGATAATTCGGTATGATATGGATACATTGATGAGCTCAATAGACGATGAAGAATAATTGGAAATAGTAAAAAAATAGCATTGTCCCCAGTGCCAAATAAAGTTCGCTCAGTTGGCGATTAATCGTCCAATATGGCATCCCTGACCATAAGAATTGTTTTTGCTGTCGATTGGCTTGAGCACCGTATAGAAGTTCGATGATGATAACCTCTTGATAATACGATAACAATATGTGATTTCGTTGCTGCGGCATTAAATATCGCGATTTCAAGAACTGGAATTCAAGAACAAAAACATAACATACATAATTATACTAACTACACAACAGCTGAAACAAGAATGAAAAATGAAGAATTCTAAGTCATTTCAGCAAGTGTTCAATAACATTAATATCAGTGGTAGATGGAAGGAGAAAAACAACTCAACCTACCTAATGCCACGGCTCTGTTACGAAAGAGCGCTGTACAAAATAGCGAGTTACAAAACGGCGGTAACGAAACAGCGCTGAACAGAATAGCGCTGTGACAAAAGAGCGTGTAACAATACAGCGCTGTAATAAAGCAGCGCGTGTAACAAAACAGCGCTTAACTAAAGAGCGCTGTGACAAAATAACGCGTAACAAAATATCGATGTGATAACATAGCGCTATAACAGAAGAGCGCTGTACAAATTAGCGGTTACATAAGGACAACACAACATACAATATAATGAATAATACAAAAATATTCTTTTGAAAAGGAAACACAGTTAGGTTCTCTAAGTTTGATGATGATACGTGTTCGCCACACGGGATGTGGAAAATTCTGGAATTGATGAAATGGTCAATTACGTATCTGTAGAAGCAAATTTCCATCGTTCAAGTTCGATCCCCCACTATAGAGAATATCAACAATTCATGACAGTGACGCTTTAAGTGACTACCTAATTTCAAATCAGTCGAAATGGCAGAATATGTGAAATCCCAAAAGGGCAGAGAAATGTTGATATTTGAAGGATTTAGATATAGGAAAGATAAAACAAATATCGCTTCAAAGACATGGAGATGCGCAAAGGGCACCTGTAGAGGCAGAGCCTCAACGAAAAACAGTTCTCATAATGTGACCAGAGAACATAATCATGGGCCATGTGTTAAACAAACAGAAGCATTAACAATCAAACAGAATATAAGAGACATGGCAAAAACCACTGACGAACGTCCGAGAAGTATTATTCAACAGTGCTCGCAAGACGTCACTCCTGAAGCAGCTGTACTCATACAGAGCTATGACGCTGCGAGGATGATGATCCACAGAGAAAGAAAGAAAACTTTGCAAAATGATGGAATATCAGCTACAAACATTCAACAAATAGAAATACCAGGAGAATTCAAAAAAACATTCAGAGGAGATACATTCCTACTGTACGACTCAGGAAATGAAGATCAAAACCGAATGATAATATTCGGTACGTATAACAATCTGGCTTTATTACATGAATTTGGCGACTGGTGTGTAGACGGCACGTTCAAAGTTGCCCCAAAATTGTTTTACCAAGTATACACCATTCATTGCTTAGTAGACAGTAAGGCAGTTCCTATGATATATGCATTGCTGTGTAACAAAACTAAAAATACTTATATAAGATTGTTTACCAAGATAAAAGAGCTGGGGAAGAATCTTACTCTCACACCCTCTAGCATATTATCGGATTTTGAGCAAGCAGCCCACCGTGCGATCGAAGAGGTATTTCCAAACGCAGAAGTGGTGGGATGTTTTTTTCATTTATCTCAAAATCTATGGAGGCAAATACAAAAAACGCCAAGACTTGTTGCCAAGTATAAGGAGCAGGAAGAGATAAGAAAGCATTGCAAGTTTCTCTTGGCTCTCGCGTTCGTGCCAGTGAGAGATGTACCGTTTGCGTTCGAAATTTTGAAAGAAGTAGGTTTTCCAAAAGAAATGGAAACCGTCGTGAACTATTGGGAGTCCACTTACGTAGGCACAAGGACAGAAGGTATTCGTCCCGTTTTTTCCATTTCTGTTTGGAATATGTATGACAGACTGGAATCCCATCTACCTAGGACAAATAATTCCTTGGAAGCTTGGCATAATGCCTTCCAGCAAACTATAGACTGTCACCATCCATCAATGGCAAGATTTTTAAATAAACTGAAGCAGGAACAAAGCACCAATGAAATATTCATAACAAGATTCAGGACCGGATTCAGATCCCCAACTTGTACAAAAAGCAGATATTACCAAATAAATCAGCGGCTTATAAATATTTCCAAAGAATATTCCTTGACGACTGTTGAAAATTACCTATGTTTTATTGCAAATAATCTGTCATTGTGATGATATTTTTAAGAGAATTGAAAATGTTAGCTTGTTTTTCAGTACTTGAATGTTCACTGTTTGACCATATATCGTATTTTTTATTAAATAAATATAGTTGTTTGGTTGAAATTGAGGGCGAGAGTGTAGTACGCATTTTCTTAACAATGCGCTATTTTGTTACCGCACTTTTTATATGTAGTTCTTTTTCATCACAGCGCCTTTATGTTACAATCGCTGTTTTATTGTAGCGCTGTATTGTTGCACGCTCTTTTGTCACAGTGTTATTCTGTTCAGCGCTGTTTCGTTACCTCTCTTTTGTTACTCGCTATTTTGTAAAGCGCCCTTTCGTAATAGCGCTCTGTTGTCACAGCACCGTTTTGTTACAAGCGCCGTTTTGTTACAGCGCTCATTTGTTACACGCTCTTTTGTTACACGTTATTTCATTACAGCGCTCTTTCGTTACGCGCTGATTTGTTCACCGCTATTTTGTTCAGCGCTCATTCGTTACAGAGCCCTAATGCCACGCATAACAGCGAATTACATCCTCCGGCAATCTATGCAACGACTACTTTTTGCAAGTCTTTTTTTCCGATGAAAATATTGTAGCGATACTCTTGTGAGGGTTCGAGCCCATTCCCCATTTCCAGTTTTACTTGCTCCTGCCCGGGCTAGTGAATCTGCTCGTAGATTATTCTAGATTGTAGGTGTGGCGTATAGGTTCGGAGACCTCTCGATCACTGCAACCTAGAAGATCTATTGTGATTACCCTTATCTAGTTGAAGTCCTCTAACCTGAC